CTTCCAGTAGTAAGACTTGCGGGAAAACGGTACCCCCGTATAGTAGCCCTTGAGGACCCAAGGGTCCCTCGCTATAGTAGCCCTTGAAGTCCCAAGGGTACCCCTGAATAGTAACCATTGAGGTCCCAAGGGTACCTCCGGATAGTAACCTTTGAGAGCCTATGAGCACCTTCATAAAGTATCCCTTGAGGTCTAGTGGTGGTACTTTACTTTTACTTTACTAGTAAATAAGTAAATAAACTATTTACTATTTACTTTTGTAAAAGTTAATACATTATTTACCTCAGTAAAAGAAAATGTATGAACCATTAAAAATATTAAAACGAAACATATGTAGTCTCCTGAGATAGGTGTGCTACGTGTCAGCTTCGTATCCGATAGAGGATATCAGTTACGGTTCTGCTTCCAAGTTCATATCATCAACGATAAGTGTTTTATGAAAAGCTGTTAGTGCAATTGATGTAGCATTAAAATGTGAAACACTATATGCCCACTGTTGCTCATGTTCTAAAATCTGGTCTGTTTATATCTATTGACATGCATTTATAAGAAAATACTTCATCCATATTTCGATTGGATGTTAGTTATACATCACCACTAGTAGCCGCCCCTTGCATCTGTCTGTCAGGGTTTGTGATGGGTCGTCAAAGATTGGCTCAGGAAATATTACATACAAGCTTGTTAATTAATTCATGGTCAAATTATTTAATTTCTCTTTCACGGTCTATGTGAACCCATGGAGTTGGGTGGGCATAAATCTCAATCCATGTACACTTCAACAGTTCTCTTGGCTCTTGTTTCACAAAATAATAGTTCTAAATAGGGCTTAAAAGAAGAAAATCACCGTAGGAGGAATCGGAATCTACAATTAGTTTATTGAATTATTCAGTTTGTTTTCAATTGAAAAACGTTTTGCAAAAAGAAAAAGATTTTTCTCTGATAAGAACAGGTATTTTATTGAAAACAAATTTTGAAAGAAAACTTAATTTTTATTGAAGTTTCATCTAGTGAAAGAAGTGATTTTTTACTGAAAACTGGTGGTTTGAGTAAGAGAATGCTCTCAAGTGAAGGTGGAATGCTATTTTTTTACTAAAACGGCATTATATTCATAATTAATGTCACGATTGAAATTTCGAAAAGTTTTTCGCTGACTGCGATTTCTCGATCTCCAATCAGTTAGCCAAGATCTTTACAAAAACCAAAGTTTTGCATGAAATAGCTGCCTCATAACGAAAAATATTGAATCATAGTGATATTTGGCTCACGAATGTTGCTTAATCACATAATAAGCGGCGAGTTCAACATGAACTGAAAAAAAATCATTCTTTAAAAGTGAGTAGTCATTGTTTTTCGATACTGCTTATTATTAACGTCCTTCAGTTTCACTTAGCACTAAGTTGCACCTAACATCAACTGTAAACTAATACAGCTAAATACCTAATTTAATCAAGGCAAATGAAAAGAATCGCACTACCCTATTCATGATTCCAAAAGAATTCAAGTAAGAATGATAAAGTCCTGATTTAACATCCTTAGTTTCAGGCTTTAGTCAGAATTATCCCATGAGTAGACACTATTTCACTTGAAGTTCAAAAATAACATTGTCTTCAGGTAGTTAGAGACGGCAAGAGATATGAGAATGCGTTTAAATGAGAACTCAAGAAAAACTAAGTTATTACTATTGATTTTTCACATAATAAATAAAGAGAAGACATAGTCACAACTTACCTTCAATAGCAAAAATGAGTTTGAAGTTACTCAAAATCATCTAAAATCACGAAACATGTTTGCTCTCTCTCTCGCCAAATCTAAAACACTAAAGTTTCCAGTATGATACTTGTTATTTTAGAAAATAGTTCATGCAACCTCTCAAGGATTATCCAGGAATGATCACTTCAAGTTTTCAGAGCTGCCTTGTGATATTATTTAGGAAGAACGATTCGCTAATTAATTCCACTGAATACAAGCCACTTTTAAATAGCATGAATTACAGTTTAATCCAGCGTAGGAAAAAGATCAATAAATAATACTTAATTCCTTTATACTACATACTATTATTTCTCTTAACACTCAGCGTTAGGTTTGATTCCGTTTTCACAGAACTAGACATGTAAGACAGCTCATAATAGAGCAACAAAGAGGCCACGCAAAAGTGACAGGACGCTTCGTCTGTGTATTTTTTTATATGAAGTTTTAATTTCATAAATTAAATTTCTTTTTAGAAAATAGACTCATTTGAGTGAATTATTACTGCTGACCATTTAATTTGACGTATTAGACAAGCCTTGAGAATACATATCGTGGATGGATATGAGCAATCAGATCGACTCCTGTTTTTACAACTTCATCAACATCAACGAGTAATACGCAATCGATGAGGTCGACTTGCTTTCTTTCCTGAAAAACTTTCTTGTTATTGGGCAAAACTACTATGCACGGTTTTCAAAATTGACTTCTCGTATAATCACTCCCATTGCGTCTATTTATACTGTAATTAGATCGTTTCAATGACTCAATAACTCTTCTATACATATCTTATCTAGCCTTTGATAATAAGTCTATTTAACAATCATTATTGTAACGACAATTCTAGTCTTATCAAGTGAGCTTATTTAAGTATTTTCCATCTTTTTAGAGTCTCAATCTCCTTCTCGTGAGAGAATCAGTCAACCGAAGAGAAACATGGGGAGAGAGAAAAAGAGATATGAAGGAAAGAAACATTCAAATTACGTAGGATAGTTGAATTAGACTGTATAACAGATAATCGTACGTATTCTACAAAAGGTGACCAAATCAGATTAGTGCACACAGGCGAGATAAACTATTGTGCATAATATGTACGATAATTATTGGTAAACGTTTAAAAATATTGGCAGAATTATGTTAGCCGATTAGGCAAGTTTTCATGCATTTTGACAGATTTTTATGCCCTAAAAATTGTACGAGAACCTCGAAGAAGAAACATTAACCATTGAATCTTTCCAATAATATCCTTCCTATAACATGAATTTGAGTGTTCTTCATTTGTATTGAATTAATTTCAATCCGACAAAGAATGACGTAGACAAAAACCAAAATTATCGTACGAATCACTATTTAACATCAACTAGATTCAGGAAAATTTTATACACTTTTCTCGTGAAAACACAAATTAACTTTGTCAGAACTGTTTCGAAAAATATCTTTTCAATGCGGTATTACGATAGATTTTTCATATCCTATTTAGTCTTCCTATGATATTGTGCAGTCTAAGAATTTTTGTTTACTAATGAAACTATCCTTCAATGTGATTTGCTTCTTAGCTTAGCCCTGAGGCAGGGTAGTGATATCTTTCTCGACGAAAAGTTTTGAAATTCACATAAAGCTATCGGGTGTTGATGACTGATTCATAATTTATTCATTTTGCTAGATCTGTACTTTCTCTGATCAAAACCTACGAAGCACCGATCAAAATACTTCAAATTGCCCTTCTGAGATAATTTTCAAACTTCATGAATTATTGATCTCCTCCTTTCCATGTTTGCCATTATTCAACCCCGAGTCGTTTGTAAACACTACTTAATTCAGGTGAAACTGAGCTGTATTTTTCTAATGCAGTTTTTACTGGTGTTTTATCTGATTTTTCTTACGGTTGCAATACTTTAAGTAAAATTTTTGTTTGCCAAATTCTTTTAAAGATATTTTAGAACATAAACTTAATGCTTTTTTTGAATAATATTGTTCAGCTATGTCATATTTCTTTCTATTGATATATTTTCGATTTGTATTAGATTTAGAGTATAAACTCATACTAGCAGCACTTTTCCGATGAAAATACCTCATTATACGAACTAATCTAAGTTCACGTTGAGTCAATTTGTTCTGAAATGTGTCACTTGCTACTGAAAGTCGTCCTAATAAAATATCAATTGATTTTCCAAAGTTCTTCTGGCAAGAGTAAACTCCCAAAAGTTAACACTCTTCCTGCTTCTATTTCAATGAGCTACTATGTACGTAAAATAAGAAAATTCCTCTGCATAGCAAACACTTAAAGATTCTGTTAGATGCCCATAGTAGAGATCTTTAAGTAGTTTCATCTTAACTGAAACCATAGGGTTATTTGACTTTCAATAACGCTTCATACTTCATTGTATTTTCTTATTATTATGATATTCTCGTAAAAAACAGTAAATAGGTCGTCATAGATAGGCCAGAGCCACAGAAAGACAGTTTGTTTGAACCTCTCACTTATAAACTGTTGAAGTCAGCAGTGTCACACATCCCAGAATCTAGAGATGCATTCTCAGTCACATCTTCCATAGAACATGTTGCATTTCCTCCCAGACATGTGTCATCTTTTGAGCGGAATGTGCATCTCTCAAGAAGATACAACATTCCCAGTCTTCTACGTCTCCATCTTCATGGGATGATATAGATTCCTTTCCAAATTTCGGAATATGAGAAATTAGTGCAACACCAGTTCGGTATTCAGTATGGATCACATTGGTTATGGAACTTGCTTCTTCAAGATTATACAGACATTTGACGCAGTTTTCTAAGTTGATTACGCGCAATGTATTTGAATTTATTTAGTAATAAATCATTTACTTTTACTAAAGTAAATAGTAAATAGTCTATTTACTTTACTTATTTACTTTTTGAAAAAGTAAAGTAAATGTACCACCACTATTGAGGACCTATGAGTACCTTCATAGGATAGCCCTTGAGGGCCTATAAGTATATCTAAAAGATAGCCCTTGAGAACCCATGAGTACCTTCATAGGTTGGCTCCGATAAATTAATGAGTATGAATTAAGAGTTGCAGTAATTAGGCTGAATACTAATTAAGGTGAGTACCAATTAAGGTGAGTACCAATTAAGGTGAGTACTAATTAGGGTGAGTACTAAGTTAATTAGCGTGAGTAATAATTAATATGAGTAATGATTAATATGAATACAGTTTTAGAAATTGTTATTGATTTTAACAGTCGTATGTTGTCTTTATATGCATTTCGGAAAACATGGACTGCGTAGCTTTGGTAAAATATGAATGCGTAAGTGAGCTCCAAATTTGGAGTTTACGCGTCCAGTTTATTTTTTTGACCAGTTTCGAGAATATATTTTAGAAAGATAATGAATGGCCAATAAGTATTTATTGGTAAAAACTACAGCGACTTAGGCTTGGTGGTATTTCCATTTCTGTTAGTCAAGTGTAAAATTATTTTTGTCCCAATAGATTATATTTGCATTTGAGTTATTATTATAAATAATTTTATTTGATCCGATGATAAAACTGACACCTAAATGGAACTATTTATCCTTTTTTTTTGTCTATATTCATCTGTTAAATTAATTCAGGCAACTGGCTCATTGTCAAATGGAGTGGATCTTCAGGACATCGATCAGCAAGCGTCGAACAAAAATAAAAAGAATCAGTAAATAATTGTTTTACATTTTTTCTTATTAAGTTTTGGAAATCGTTCACTTAGGTATTTTAAACGCATTCGTTGCCAATATTCACCTGTCTGTTTATTTCTATCTCTACTTGCTATTCTTCTTCTAAGCGCGGGCATTGCTGCAATGTTTGTCGCCTTGATTGGTATCCCTAAAACGACAACAACAACGACGACGACAGCAACAACTACAACTACAACAACAACGACAACAACAACTACAACTACAACAACAACAACTACAACAACAACGACGACGACAACAACAACTACAACAACAACTAAAACTACAACAACAACGACGACAGCAACAACAACGACGACAGCAACAACTACAACAACAAGTAAGGCAACATTTGCTTTTTTGTTCGTGTATGTACATAAATAGTCATACAACTGAATTCGTAAAAGAAGTTCTAGCGATCGATGTGATATAACACGCGATGCAAAAGTCTTGGAAAAAATGTCAACCTATGCTAGACCATATTGCCAGCTTCTAAACCAATCAAATTTTTTTTTGTTGGAGAGAGCAAAGTCTGAACTACAAATTTTGTACCAGACTTATTTTTCCTGAACGAATCTACGAAGCAAGAAAAGCTAAAAACTAAACACCTCTAAAAACGTTCTTGCAACGTTTTTGCAATTTGAAAAGTTTCTACTTCTCAACTATCTTGAGCTACATGGATCGAATTCTAACAAAAAATATACCAAAATGTGACACATGGAAAGTTATATCGGTATCAGCTTTGGTAAATTTTTTTAATATTAGCTCTTGACTCTATAATTAAAAAAATAGGAAATTGAAATTTTTGTAAAAATTGAGTCTTTTGCAAGAATTATCTATTTGGAAGCAGATCAACTACAGTTTCGAGAAACTATGTGTGAACTGAAATCTTTGTATGTTATTTGTTTCAAATACGTCAGATCATAGAAACTTAGCAGAAAAAAAGAATTCAAAAACCTCATTTATTGTTGCAACACAGTCAGGTAGTAACAAAGACCAAATTATACAGTATCATCCAGAAAGAGGTATATTTTTCTAAAGAAACCAAGACCAAATTTAACTTCGAATACACTATTGGAAAGAGCACTCTTTATGCTACAAAATCATCATTACACGTGCGTTTTCATTTTGCTTTTAATATAAAAAAAATGAAAAGTAAGCAAAAAAATGATATTGCGTGAACGTGAAATTGCAAGAACTTTTTAGAGGTGTTTGGTTTTTGGCTTCTCCTGCTTCGTAGATTCGTTCAGGAAAAATAAGTCTGGTACAAAATTTGTAGTTCAGACTTTGCTCTCTCCAACAAAAAAAAGAATTTGATTGGTTTAGAAGCTGGCAATATGGTCTAGCATAGGTTGACATTTTTTCCAAGACTTTTGCATCGCATGTTATATGTATAACTGAGATAGGTCCAAGAGGGAAGCAGCGATTTTAGCGGCTCATATTTGATTTTTGTGGATTTAAATAAGCTGCTACCTCCTTGGAAGATTGATGAACAACTCTCCAGAAACTGAAGCTGGTATTCAGTCAAGATGTTCGACAGTTTGGCTACAGAAGAAGCTGTCGATTTTCTTCTTCTCCTTATTTCTTTCTTCATTGATTTCTTCATACTTGCTCAGTTTTGGTGAGGCGACAGATTGGCCACTATAGATTTTAAAAAATGTGGAAACTTCGGATTTAAATCCGAGTGCTATGTGTACTTCAAAAAGTGATAATAATTGACCATATATTGATTTTGATCAAACTGTCTAAAAAAAAGCAGAAAAATGAAGTAGAATATAAGAAAGTGTCGAATGAAGTATTGGCGCGTACGTTAAAATTTTTTTTTTGGGTTTAAATTGAATGTAGATTTTCGTTGAATAAGGGAAGCAATTTTGTGAATAATTATATTTTTGTTTACAATTATTGGTGTAGCTTTTATGGCTAGCTAATCAGCATAAACTCGATTTTTAATCATTCATTCCTTAACGACAGTCTTTATGAGTCATTTCCAGTAGTGTATTCATTGTTTGTTCTAGCTTTGCTGTGTATGATATAAAATATTTAGGACACGATAAGAATGAAAACAAAGTGAACGTCCATGTTAACATCCTATATTTTTAATAGTTCCTTATTATATTATTTGATTCATCATGTATTAAGTTCTCTTTTATATTAAGGATACTTGCTAATTTAAAAATTTACAAACAAAGTCTATGGTATGTTCAGGATATTATTTTTCATGCTGATTTCATTTTAATTATCTCGACCATTGAAAAATAATATAGGACTTAAGGACCTAAAGGTATCCTCATAATATAGGACTTAAGAACCTAATGGTACCCTCATAATATAGGACTTGAGGACCTAAAGGTATACCCCCTTCTCCAATAACCGGGATAGGTCAATGTTCGCATAGAAAAAGTAAAAATAATTAACGACAGATTGATTTTGATCAAGCTGTCTGAAAACAAAACTTGAGGGCCTATGGTACCTCCATAGGATAGCTGTTGAGTACCTATGGTTACTCCATATAATAGCCCTTGAGGGCCTATGGCACCCCCATAGGATAGCCCTTGAAGACCTATGGTTACTCCATATAATAGCCCTTGGGGGCCTATGGTACCTCCATAGGATAGCTCTTGCAAACCTATGGGCATCTCCATATAATCACCCTTGGGACGGTTCTCTTATAGCCTTATTTGACCGTTAACCTTTGACCTTTGACCCGGCACAGACACACGCAGACAGATACTGAACATTATTTATATAATAACTAAGCCATTTCTTGACGAAACCATTATCATCTTCGAACTCGACCGAGATATTGATGACACTATTCGGTGTGCAAAATTTCATGACAATTGGATGAGCCTTTGAAGAGTTATCGTGTAAGCGGCTGGCAGACCGGACACACTGGCCGATTCTATAGTGTACTCACTTTTTGAGTACATAAAAAAGACAGAATATGGAATTTATCGTTTTTGGACTATGAAAAGGACGAACAAATCATTGAGTGTCTATTTGGATGGACTCAGGAGTAATACCGTTATTGTCTGGTCCAGATAATGAATGAACGAGTGAGGGATTGTAAATGGAAAGAAGAACAGTTGTTTTGGGGTTAATGTCATTTCATTGCGCTATTCTTGCAGTGTTTCATCGAAGTATCTACTATTGAGTGAAGTACATCATCAATCATCTCTTACGTAAATGCACGTGTCATGGAACTGAAGTCCTTTTCAAGAGAGTTTTCTGATCCTGTTTTATCGAGAGTATGTTGACAATCATCCTACTAATTGTGCCCAAGGAAAACCTTGCGAATTCGGTCGATTAGGAACTCATATCGTTTGCTAATCTGGTCGAATCTGAGATAAGATTCAGTTTAGTTCCAATGGTGAAAGATTCAAAGCAGCATCGCGAAACCAGAGGAAGATTAAACGACGATAAGAATGCAGTAATTGTAGCAGAGATTCAGTAAAAAGTCATTATCTTGACCGAATCTAACAATAGCAGACATCCTTTGGAAGTTAGGCTACTCTAGTAATCGTGTACATATGCGGAAAATAGGGAGACCAACGAAGCGGCTCACTTCCGAATGCTTTATTGTTAGTTCAGTTTGTTTAATTACAAAATTTTCATTTACCTTCAACAACTGTAACAACAACACCGACTCGAAGTAATATGTCGTTTTCTTTTATTAATAGTTATTTGCTTTCGAGAAATGATGTCTAAGAAGTAACCATCAGTTAGACGTATGGGATATCAATTTCAACAAACTGAGCTGATGTTACTAAACAGTTAATTTTATCCTATTGATTAGATTTGTAAAAGCTCAATGTTAATCTATCATCGGAATTTTAAAAGAAGACATCGGATAAAATGATTATAACTTTTTAGCAAAGGTAGCTACACTATAAAAAATAGGCGTAGAATAATAAACCCTTCAAAAGGGTTTATTAGCCTTATAAACGCTTTCATATACCCTTTTAGTGTCATAAACCCTTTCATATACCCTTTTCCGTCATAAACCCTAGGAAGGGTATATTATTCGTTGCACTTTCATAAACCCTTTAGGGTATATGAGCTGTCATATACCCTTAAAGGGTTTGTTAACTTCATAAACCCTTCGGAAAGCGTTTATTAATATACCATTTAGAAGAAACCGTAGAATAAAAAAACATTTTCCAAAGGGTTTATGAAGTTAATAAACCCCTTAAGGGTGTATGACAGCTCATATACCCTAAAGGGTTTTATGAAAGTGCAACGAATAATATACCCTTCCTAGGGTTTATGAAGGAAAAGGGTATATGAAAGCGTTTATAAGCAAGGGGGAAAAAGCGGATTCCGTCTATCCCGGATACGGTCGGGATACAGAGGATACGGAGGATACATCGGGGATACAGAGGATACATCGGGGATACGGAGGATACGTCGGGGATACGGAGGATACATCGGGGATACATAGGATACCTATGAGATTAAGAAGACACAGTTTGATACTAAGCAGAAAATTAATAAAATATGGGTTGTATATCATCGGGTTAATAACTGATCAGTTCTGGTGAAGACCTCTCATCAATACAAAGAGTTTGAAAGGCCTTTTTCACATATTTCGATTAACGTGAAAACAAAAATAAAACTGTTTAAATAGTGTAGTGCCTAATCATCAAGGGGAGGGGGGCGGAAATGGATTCCATCTATCCGAAATACGGCGGGGATTCAAAGAATACGGACCAAGGGGGAAACATCATACTTTTATGTACTTTAAAGTACTTTAGTGTACTTTAAAGTACAAAAAAAGTACAATCATGTACTCAGACATGTCCCTAGAGGATCTTAAGGAGGTCCCTAAGTGATCTCAGAAAGGTCTTTCGTGGCTCACAGGGAGGTCACTGGAGGGTCTTATGGAGATCTTTAGAGATCTTAGCAATGGCTCTGGGTAGTCTTATGAACATCTTTGGAGGATCTCAGGGATGTCTTTCGTGGATCCAAAGGAGGTCTCTACGGATCTTATCGAAATCTTTAGGAGATCTGAGAGATGTCTTCTGGAAAGCTCAGGGACGTCTTCAAGGACCTCAAGGCGATCCTTGGAGGGTCTTATGGAGATACTTGTAAGACCTCAGTGAAGTCCTCAGAGGATCCATGGGAGATCTCTGGTGGGTCTTATGGAGATACTTGCAAGATCTCAGAGAAGTCTTCAGGGGATCCCTGGAAGGTCTCTGGAGGGCCTAATGAAGATATTTTGGTAATTCAAGAGAGATCTTCAGAGGATCTTAGTAAAGTCTTCAGGAGATCTCAGGGGTCTCTAGTGGGCCTTACAGAGAACTACGGAGTTCGTATGGTGGCCTCAGGAGGATGTCGGAGGCTCTCTAGAGGACATCAGGAACGTCTGTAGCTCATCTGAATGA